GATTTTCCTTCATCTGTGGAGAAGACTTTCCTTTGTTCAGCACTGACAGAAGTATTCCATGTCGCATTCTCGTACAAGCTTTGCTTATTAGAGTCTCCTTTGCCTGTGCCCCACAAGGGACCTGATCAAGTAGGCCTGAGCAGAGCAGACCTAACGTGGAGCTGCAAGACTGCCGCTTCTGTTCAGAAACACGGCTGCTGGTAGTAGTGCTGCTTCTCTTTTTTTCCCAGGCATTTACCTAGGCTATGGGGGAACTGAGTTCAAGCCTTCAACCCTCCCTTTGCAAAGGGATGAAACTTGCATATCTCCTGTTTTGGTAAATGCCCTGACTGGGCAACGTGCAGCTCCCTACCTCGAGTTGAACCTGTTTCACTTTGAAGAGAAGAAAGTTTTCTTAGGCTGAGACCCATGCTTACCACACTGTCTAGGAATTGGGGCATGTAGCTGGGGAGGAGGCACTGAATTTTTTTGTTCCTATATCTAGATTTGATCCAATGACAGCTTAGTAAAAATGCACAAATGATCTTTTAAAATGAAGCAAAATCCAAGTCGTCTGCTTGGGCAGCTGAAGACTAGGCTGCAGTTGTCTTTGGTGAATATTCAGTCCTTTTATGTGTGAGGAGTAGCCTCAAGGGGAGGGACTGAAATTGCCCCATCTCTAGATGTGTGTGTTTGGATGCTTCTTTGTAAGATGAAAACATGGGTTAGAAGTATTTAAAAGTAATTGAATTTGTATCTCAGCGTAGGTGAGAAATCCAGTCGCTGAAGCAAGATGTAAGGCAACACCAGCGCCACTAACTAAAGAATATCCCTTTCTCTATTTTTGTATGAAGTTGTTGAACTCCTGAGGTCATTAACTTCTGTTGTGGAGAAGTCAACATCTCCTTCTGGTGTTAGGTCTCTAAGCCCTGGATAAAGGTAAACTTTAAGATAAAGCATTGTCATCAGAATTTCTAATTAGCTAGTCCAGGCAACGTTCAGCTCAAGGTGCTGGCTCAGTATCGTGCCGTGGGGTTCTGAAACCTCTCCTTGCCTTGCTTAACAAGTGCTGATACTGAACTCTGGAGCGCCAAATGTTTGACATTGCTCTTCATAGATCAAGCTGTCTGTCTTTAAAGGTTTGTTGGAATTCCTGCAGATTTGTGTCATGTCCCTACCTTCCAAATACCCCTTTATTGTATCTGAACAAAATTTTTTGGCAGGGTTCCGGTTGGCTGGTGTGTATATGCCGATAGATCAGAAAAGTAGACAGACAGACAGACAACTGCTGATCCTGGTGCTGTAGCCTTTCCCGAGAAGCGTGCAAATTTGGAAATTTTTCCAGATTTTTCATGGAATGTGTATACATTTCGGATGTGATGCATCTCTATCAGGTTTGCTCAGAAATGGTCCAGGGCTGAGGTTCATGTAGGAGAGGAACAGGCTAATAGAAAGCATGATCACCTAAGCTTGGTTTCTTTAGGAAATCAGGATTAAGTAATATTTATCATGTCCAAAGGCTGTTGAGTAAGTACAATGACTTGGATTAGTTGTAAAGACTGTCATAGGATTAGGTAGCTAAAAATTAATGTAAAATAAGAACATCTAAATTTTACAACTTCCATCATCTCTATATATTACAGCTATTCAAGAAAGGTTTGGGGGCTTCACCTCCCCCCCCTCCAAATTCATAAAATATTCTGGTCTAAAATTATCATGAGAAAATCAGTCATTTATCATTGTTACTCCACTCCATTGCAACCATTACTGCAGTGGCAAAATGTTACTGTAATAGAAACAGAAAATTACTCAACTGAAATAGTTTTTACTTATTATGTAATATCTGAACTTAGGCTTGTGCATTTTTCATCTGAAGTATTGCTTCCAGTAGTAATACTATAAAATCTACTGTAACTGTACTATGTAAACATCTTTTAAGTAAAAACCATCATGTCTTTTCAAACTGTTTACCCTGTATGTTTGGCCAGTTTCTGTATCAGCCATTTCTTTGGTTGTTTGGTTTTTTTTTTTGCAGGGTGCTTCTACTTCGATGGGGAAGAGAAGCCCTGTGTATGTGTAGCAATAGATAGCATGTCTGCCAGGCTGAACAGGTAGACCAAGGGTAGTTGTACTAACCGAGTGTACTGCCTGTTAAAAACAAACCCAAATTGATTTCTGGTTTACCTTCTTTATTAAGCTCTCCTCCTTGTGTTTGCTCAGTTTAGAGCACTGGAGCAATTTGTTCTTCAAGAGGACATCCCTGAAATACATTGTTTCTGACAAGGACCAAGAATCTATTGAACATTTGGCTTATGCTTTTTGTGTAAGTTGACATGATAATTAGGAGAAGTGAGATTGTTTTCCTAACACACTGGAGTGCAAGGATGGCAGGGTTGCTGGCATGCTTAATAGAGTATGGAGGCTTCCTCTGTTCATGGCTGCTTGAAGTTTCAGGAGTTGAGAGCTTTCCCCAGCTGTTTGCTGATTTAATTAGATTTTTTTCCTGTCAAGAAATCTGAAGGTCAACACATGCTTAGTAGAATCTGTCATTTATGATAATTAAATACTCCGAGATGGTTCTTTAAAAATTGGTGGTGCACACTTTAAGAATCTGTTGTGTTTCATTTCTGTGCTGGACAGGAGAACAAACAACTGCATTTTAAAAGCTTGTAAATGTGGCTGTTTCTTGCAAGTCTCTGAAGTATCTGTGGAAACTGAATGTGGGTGCTGTCTCAGAGCAGAGATTCCTGCGTTTGAGATAATTAATGAGCAGTGTGGAAATAAAGACTGTTTATTAGGAGATTGTCACTGGCCAACAACATATTAGCAATTGAGCTGTGTGTGTAGCCTTTTCTTAAACTTTTCCCCGTGTGAGTCACGGTAGTAGCACGCTTCCCGGAGTCGTCTGGTTTGTGCTGTTACCTGTGTCCTGCAGCCAGACAGGTGAGAAAACACCGATAGCCTTCCTAGGTCAGCAGCAGTGTTGGCGTTAGTATCTTGACATTTCTGGTAACGCTGGCAAAAAGCTTTGAGGAAGGTGTTTACTGGAAGGCTGTATGCTACAATTCCGTGCATCTCTTGTCCTGCTGCTCTGGCGGGGCAGCTGAGGTAGATGTGCTAAAGGAAATGGTGAGATTCTTTACAGAGGAATTAAAAATCTTTCTAGGTGTGGTGGCTCATTGTTTGGTTTTGCTTTTGAATTTCCTTGGTTGAAAGACACATGTAGCAATAGCAGATTAAAGAGGGCTGCAACTTTTTTCATCCCTGTAAGAGCTTTGATTGCGCTTTCCTAGAAGTTGGATGAAAATCTGTTTTGTCCAATGCACGTGAATATTCTGGCTTATGTTGAAAGTGTTACCTCAGCAGTTTGGTTTTGAAGGGACAGGTTCAACTTTCAGTTTGTTGTATTTTACACTTACTATGGGAATTTATTTGGGGAAAAATCGCTGCATAATACTGAAAAGCTCACTGAGATAAGGACATCTCGTACAAGTATCCTGTTACTTAAAGGGCACTGAATGTTCATCGTACTAAATGGGATTTCTAAACAGATGGTCATAATTAACATAAAATACATCCACACATAGAGTCTATTTGGTGTTCTAGTAATTATTTCAATGGTCCGATACTTTAGCGTTAATTAAACTGTAGCACAGCCAACAATGGATTTGCAGTAAAGAGTTACTGAATTCAGATGTGGAGGGGAGATCTCAAAACAATTACCTTTTTTCCATCATTGAAGAACAAAAACTAGAACATGTAATTAAAACATTTGTGTGTTTGCATTTCTAACAAGCTGCTAGGAGAAGCTTGTTCATAGCCTTGAAGTGAACGAACTGGTCTCCAGGTCGCATAGAAAGTCAGCGCCGTTGCACATTGCAGCAAAGGGTGGGGCTGTTCAGCTCTTAGGTGAAGCCGTGAATTTAAATCTTCATGGTGAAAGCTTGAATGCAAACGGTTTCGATGAACTTCTTTGGCCTGTTAACTTTTTCAAGAACGTAAGTTATATAAGATGGGGCATCTTTCAGCACAATTTCTAGAAATCCGTATTTTCTTTGGAATACACTTAGCTAAACAACTTGCATGGTACTACTGCGCAGAATGAGATGTTTCAAGAGAAAAGACCTAATAGCAAGCCAACTGAAGTTACTGCTTGCTTTATCCTAAGGTTTGTCCTAAATACCTGGGTTTTCAACACGTCCAAGATTTTCTCGCTGTGAGTTCATGGAAGTGGAGTTGCATTGTTGTGTAAGGTAGAGATGTGAAAAGCAAAACTGAATACAGCTATCTCTGCCCTTGAGTGCTCCAGTGGGTTCTTGGGAGAAAAGGGGGAAGTAACACAAGAGAATCGTAAAACTAAAGCCTAATTTCTCATTCTTCTAGCGTGTTCTTATGATTCTTAACTTTTGATAATTGATTTGTTAATTGATTTGTCTTGTACAAAAAGAGAAAATGTGTCTTTCAGAAAAAAAAAAAGCAAAGCTGTGTTTAGTTTGGTGTCTGATTAAGTCTGAATAAGATCTGCAGAAGGAAGGCATTGTTCTACTTCACTTCAAATGGAAATAACATTTTAACTCCCCCCCCCTTGGAAAAAAAAAAAAAAAATCATTCTGTGTCTTCTCCCCACCCCAGGCCCATTCTACAACCAGGGAGTGCTTGCAGGGCTTTGAAAACTTGAGGTTAGATGAAATGGCATGAAAGATGGTTACTGTGATTCATGCCTTTATGCTTTCTGTGCCAATAAATGTCTTCCTATGCTAAAGGTGTATTTAATCCTGTGAGAAGAACTTTAATGCCATTTATTGTGAATAGGTTTGACTTCAACTTATGGTAGTCTGCATTAATTCAGTTCATGAGCCTTTTTTGGTACAATTATTAAACTAACACAGTTGAGTTTTTTGAGTACTTCAATGTAAGGATTTGGTTTTATTCTGTAAAATATTGAAATGGTGGGGTTGTTTTAATTAAAAATCATTCTAAATTAGCAGAAAGCATGTTTTAAATACTCTGTTATTTACTTACAGCTGCCAAAACATAGTACAGTGAAATAATGGTCTGCTAGCCTGCTAAACAAGTGTCCAGCTTCCACAATGCCTGTGCAGGCAGCTCAGTGGACAGAATTTCTGTCCTGCCCAATCTGCTACAACGAGTTTGATGAGAATGTGCACAAACCCATCAGCTTAGGTTGCTCTCACACTGTCTGTAAGACCTGCCTGAACAAGCTTCATCGCAAGGCATGTCCTTTCGACCAGACTGCCATCAATACAGACATCGATGTGCTTCCTGTAAACTTTGCACTCCTCCAGTTAGTTGGAGCCCAGGTATGATTTAAGCAGCTCTTTGTTTTGCCACTTCGTGTTATTACCATTTACATGCCAGTTGCAATACATGTGCTGATCTTTTTCCCTCATTTTAGTCTAAAAAATGGTAAGACTTTAACTATGTAGTATTTAGAAGTCCATACATACTCTAAAAGCAACTACACCATTTTCAGGACCATCTTCTTCTCATAAAATGAAAACATGTTCTAGTTGTAAGCTGAATTCTGGTTTAAAAAGGCTCTTGAACTGTGACTGGAGAAAAATACCTATTAGGAAACAGACAATTATCTGTCGCAATTGTCGTTAGAAAAGTGAACCTGCAGATTGTACTCTCTCATTGTACTCTTGCAAGGAATCTCATTTCTGCATGTCACATGTTCAAAAGTAGCTAGCTATTTAACCAAGTTCCAGAAGAGTGTGTGTAGAATTTTTTTTTAAAATACGCATGATGATGGCTTTTCAGTTGCGTTTGCAGACACCGGCTAATCAGGCCAGGAATGTTCCCCGTGCTGTCTTGTAGCAGTGGCAAAACAGCGATTATATAATCAGTACTGCGCTTTAGAGAGACTAAATAAGTCTGTTCCCCTTATGCTGATTCATACGCTTTTTCATATTACTCTCGCTATAACACCTGGGTGATGCAGTAAAAAGATGCTTTTTACTTTGCCTTTTAATGTCTTATCACATGCCTTGACACAGCTATTGGTAATAACACTGTCTATGTCAAGTGGCTTTGTTTCTCAAGTTCATGTGTTCCTTTCATTTTTTTTATTTCTAAGTTTGTGTCAAATCACTGTCTTGATCTTACAACGCTCATTTTCCCGGTCTCCTAACTTCTTGAAATGTCTTTCAAACAGTTGAATGTATTGTGACTAATACTCCTTCTATTTTCATTGTCTGACCTTGTTGCTCTACTTCGAGTTTTTTCCCACCAAGCTAAGTTTGCTAGTTCCTTCTCTTTGAAGATTTCAGCATGCCCAAATTATGCTTAAATTATTTTTTAACTTTGCATTTGATTTTTTTCATATTTTCTTGCCAGTTAATTTTGCCTTATAACTTCCCTTGTCTCTCTGTAGTAAATCATGCTGATCTTGCACACTGATCATCCTCTCAAATCTCGTGTTCTTCAGTCATCTTTTAAGTACCTTCTCATTAGAGCTTGGGCATTGTTTTCTATCCTACCTTTGTTCTTAATGTGTTGAGTACTAACAGAAATAATCTTTCATCACCCCGATCCTCATCGAGAGTCCTTTTTGTTATGCCTTATTACATTCTGCATACCCTGGGTGGGTCCTGTCTTTTACTTCTCTAAAAAGCAGCGTACATCTGCAGTGTTATGTAATTAATAGTAGTGATGTTGGTGCCATCACAGGCACATCAGATATGTCGGCCGGGTATATATAATTCTTCTCCCCCCTCCTCCCCCTTGCATTTTCTTAGGTACCTGATCATCAGACAGTAAAGTTGAGTAATGTAGGAGAGAACAAACATTATGAAGTAGCAAAGAAATGTGTTGAGGATTTGGCACTCTACTTAAAGCCATTAAGTGGAGGAAAAGGTGAGTCTCTACTGAAGAGCGGAATTTTGATGTACCTTACTTTTAACGGCATTGTGTTTTCAGCACTGATTTTAGGCGTCAGTGGGACAATCTTCTCATTTTTGTAATAAATTTTCCCTTACGTCTTTGAAAGCTTATTCACACCTGTGACACTCGATTATTTTTTTTCACTTTAAGTTTACAAAATATTCTTTTTTATTTAATAATATTTCCTTGGGGCTAACTTTGTACTAAAGCTGAACTTTCCTCAAAAGGTGTGTTTGATGTCAATTTAAGACTTTAATTAAAATTCTTTTTGATAATGAATGGCACAGAGTTGCCAAAGAGAAGGGAGGATACCTGTGACTAGTATCCAAGTCCTAGAGAAAGACACATACTATGAGGCATTTTTGTTTGTCTTAGATAAATTTATCTGATTAGAAGCAATAGTTGCCTTTTCTCGCTTTCTTTGAAGGTGTTGCAAGCTTGAATCAGAGTGCACTGAGCCGTCCAATGCAAAGGAAGCTCGTGACGCTGGTGAATTGTCAGCTAGTGGAGGAGGAGGGTCGGGTTAGAGCTATGAGGGCAGCTCGATCGCTGGGAGAGAGAACCGTTACAGAACTGATCTTGCAGCACCAAAATCCTCAGCAGCTTTCTGCCAATCTTTGGGCTGCTGTCAGGGCACGAGGATGCCAGTTTCTAGGACCAGGTAAAGTACCTGTAGAATCTGCAACAGAGTGTATCTAGCTCTACCTTTTCTTAACACAAAAAGCATTCATTGGAAATTTCTTCTGTTCGATTGAAGATGTAATTACTTCTGGTTTTCAACTTTTTGCCAGGGAGAAAGGAGAAAACAAAAAGACTACAAGTTAGTAAAATCTACTGTTTTAAAGTTGTGTGGGTTTTTTTTTTTTTTCCCCCTTATTTACTGTTCTTCAAAATTGTAAGGAAGTATTTAAAAAATCCTGGCAAAGAAGAGTAAATAAGCATGCTTTCTGCACAGTTTGTAACGCAGCGTAACTGTAACACAGGCTGGTTGTACTGCTGCCTGTGATTAGACTTGGATAGGAAACTGCAAACGCTCTCTTGTTCATACTTTAGCTGTAAATACAATAAGCCAAACTTTAATTGCAGCATACTTTAATTTTAAAATCTGTAAGGATGCTGTTTATATCTTTGATAGAAACAGGAAATTCCTAGTTAAGAATGTTGCTAAAGCAAGCACAGAAATGAGAAGGAACTTATGTTTAAACTGGAAGTAGTCCTCTCTTGGTTCCAATAACTGATGATAGCATTGCTGTATTGTTCCCATATTTATTTTAGACAGTTTTGTGGTGTAGCATTGATGAGATGTCCAAAATTACAAAGGCTACAAGACTGCACAGTGGAGAAAAACACATCAGTAGTGCAGTTTTTATACTTATTACTGGAAATTAGTCTCAGCTCTTTAAGTTTGCTGTGCTTAGAGTGCTTCTAAATACTACTTCTAAATTAGCAAATTTCTTAATGTTTACAGAGATTTTTCTTATGATTAATGAAACGAAAAGTAATAAGGAATTATGTTCAAGATGATTCAGATGCTTCTTCTTATGGTGTAAATATATGGTAGCTTTGCTGTTTTCTGGCAATATATTTCACTTCCTATCTTTTATTTTTGTATGTTAAAGCTATGCAAGAGGAGGCACTGAAACTTGTATTACTGGCACTGGAAGATGGCTCTGCACTCTCAAGAAAAGTTCTGGTACTTTTTGTCGTACAAAGGCTAGAACCAAGATTTCCTCAGGCCTCTAAAACGAGCATTGGCCATGTTGTGCAGCTACTGTATAGAGCATCATGCTTTAAGGTAAAATACCAATATTTGAAGTTTGTTCCTGTGAACTAGTGCAGCTCCAGAGAACCTGAGCTAGGATTAGTGTCTTTCACCTTTAAAATATTACATAAATTCAGTTTCTACACATTTAAATAGTGTAGACTATAAGATTTTATCTAGAACTGTCACAAAGTAGTTGTTTGATATTTAAAATTCCCTGCAAAAGGAGCAAATGGTCACATGCAGAATTAGCCAGAATAGATTCCAAAATTGCTGCCCTCGTTATTAACTGCTGCCCATCGTCTGGAAATGATCTCCCCTGAAAGAGGCACGAAACCTGACTCTGTAGGCAGTCCTGGCCTGCTTCAGGAAGAAGCGAAATGTTTTAATATAATCACTTTTGGCTTTATTTAGATTCATAAGAGTAGGCCATGGCCAGATGTGCCAGACTGGCCCTGGGTGCTCTCAAAGATTAGAATCCAATCCCAGCATTCTAAACAAAACTTTTGGAATACTGTAGTCCTGCGAACTTCCCCAGCTCTGACACCAGGCATGAGAGGGGGACACCAGACACGGAGGGTGCTGTCAGCCTGAGCATCAGCGTTCTGTTCCAACACGTTTGTCACGCTTTCTCCTCTTTCTTTTGTCTGTATCTAGCCACCTTGCACTGAAGAGCCCCTTTATTTTTGATATATAGGGGTGGGTTGTTTAAACTGGATATTCCCACTCCTGATATCTGGAGAAGAGTGAAAAGTTAATTCCATGGGTCTTTTTTCCTTTTTGAATTACAGTTAAAAACATGATTATCACAACATCAGTAAAACTAAACATTAAAATAGTGAGACCTTTTGCTCTCCTTTATGGCAAACGTCTTCTGTAACCTAAGAGTTTTACTTCACATTTATAGGGAGCTCTCAGTTAAATATTCTGTTCTTTAAATGTCGATATCTTTAATTTTTTTTCCTCTGTATGATTTAAGTCACTTCTAGACACTTTCCTGTTTCTTTAAGTCATCCTTTAATATTGGGTAGCAAAAACTACCAGTAGAACTACTAAATATCTAAATGTATCTTCTGCAACTTGAGCAAATCTGATTACTTTCCTAGTTGGAAGTAGTGGAGTTGGTATAGTTTTGCACCTGTGATCCTGTAAAATCTTGAGCTGGCTGTCCTGCCTGTGCGCTGCTAGCTAAGTGGATGAATACATGGAGGAAAATTAAGTATATGCTAAATACACAAAAGCAATACTTTTGTGATTTGTGCTGCGTAACTGTCTTTTTCTGATGGACTTGGAGATTTTTTTTTTTGTTAAAGGAGGAGTATTTAACTGTTACTATTTATTAGGTCACTAAAAGGGATGAAGATTCTTCTCTGATGCAACTTAAAGAAGAGTTTCGGAGTTATGAGGCTTTGCGGAGAGAACATGATGCCCAAATTGTTCACATTGCCATGGAAGCAGGACTTCGAATATCACCAGAACAGTGGTCTTCCCTTCTTTATGGTGACTTGGCACATAAATCGCACATGCAATCCATTATTGACAAGGTTCGTCAAAGGGATGATTTTAGTATCTTTGTAGGATTAGATTTGACTGTTAAATGATATAATAAAAATCCAACAGATGCTTGAGTTAACTTTTTGTCTTTGGTCATATCAAATACTAGTTAAAACTAGAACGAAGGTTTTCTCCCCACTGTCGTGTATTCTTTATATGAAGACATTTTGTTTTCCAGTCATTTAAGTCTAACTCCCTTTTTTGTGTCTTATGATGAAGCTTCATAGGGCAGATTCTGAGCTGAGAAATTAAATTTCTCTCCACTGATACTCTCTATATGCCATCTGAAGACACTATGTATTGCATTTAGGAACCAGTTTAATGAAAATCTTTTTAAGATTAGTAGTTCACAGTTGTAAGATGCAGCACACTAATGCTCACTTTGTTTTCAGCTCCAATCTCCAGAATCTTTTGCAAAGAGTGTACAAGAATTGACAATTGTCTTGCAGCGCACGGGGGATCCTGCAAACTTAAACAGGCTGAGGCCTCATTTAGAGCTGCTGGCAAACATAGATCCCAATCCAGGTACACAAATCAAGCTTTTAAAACGTTTCCTGATACTTTTCGTATCTAGCAAAGTAAATTTATTAAGATTACAACCTCCATTCCTGGTTTCAAAATTCCCATTAATTAACATAGTATATCATAAACTCTTCTTCAGGGCTCTCTGAGCTCTGTCCTAGTACTTAGTGTTTTGAAGTACTAGAAGAGCTGCCTCTTATTTATGGTACTGCTGGAATTATTGACAGAATGACAAGCCTGCTTTTAATAATTTTAGATGCGGCATCTCCAACATGGGAGCAGCTGGAAAATGCAATGGTCGCTGTGAAGACTGTGGTACATGGGCTGGTGGATTTCATTCAGAACTACAGCAGAAAAGGCCATGAAACTCCACAGGTAACTATATTTGATTGTTGCATTATATGTCTTAATGTACATTTACTGAAAGATGCAACTTTGAAAAATTACTGTTGATTTGAAATATTTATGGCCTTTTCTCTGTTTTTTGCAAACTTAGCGTTTCTGAATATGGAATGCAGCAGAGCTTGCTGTAGCGAGTTCCATACAACGGCATAGTGCTTAGCCCATCAACGAGAAATTTCCTTACTTTTCTGATTAAAGATGCAAAATGTAAAGGCATATCATGGATGTGTTTGTGTGTGTATTTTAAGCCTATTTTTATGTAAACATGTATTAGATTGTAAGTGGAATGTCTTGTGCTTTTTTTTAAAGCCACAACCAAATAGCAAATATAAAACAAGTATGTGCCGAGACCTTCGACAGCAAGGGGGATGTCCAAGAGGAACAAACTGTACATTTGCTCATTCTCAGGAAGAGCTTGAAAAGTGAGTGTGGGAGACTTTTTTCTTGTTTTTTTTCTTTTCAATTTAAATCCAAGCAATCTCCACAGAATTTTGAAAACAGTTTCTTCTGTACGTTTATTCGTTCAGAAGGATTTGTGAGTCTGTTGAAGTGACAACTCTTTACATGAAATTGAAGGTACAGTAAAGCAATATCTCTAAACTAATTCCAGGTTTATTTTTTATTTTACCCCATATGAAGTAAAATTTCCTTCCCTGAAACTGAGTCTAGGCTCAGTGCCTGTCAGGGATTGGTTATATCACCTACAGGAGAGAGAATGTTAATTACATCTTGATTGATTAAAGAATGAAATGAGTTATATAAATATTATGTAACGTGGGCATTCTTGAAGCTGTTTTCACCCAAATCCATTTTCAAAGAACTCCAGAAGTGGATCTTTTAAGAGAAGAGATGATCTTTGGTTACAGGGAAGACATTGATGTTCTATTTACAGATTGCTGAAGACACGCACCAGTTTAAAGTCCTGTAATTTTTGGATATCACGTTCCTCTCAATCCCTTTCTTTGGGTAGTTTTACAAATATATTAAACTGCACAATAAACACTTTTTAAACCGTCTGTCTTTTGTGTGTTCGTACATGTGTTTGTTTATAGATATCGCTTGAGGAACAAAAAAATCAGTGCAACAGTGAGAACATTCCCCCTTCTAAATAAAGTTGGCGTAAATAGCACCGTCTCAACCACAACAGGAAACGTAATTTCTGTCATAGGAAGCCCTGAAGCAACAGGGAAGATGGTGCCAAGTACTAATGGAATAGCTAATCTAGAAAGTGGTGTTCCCCAGTTGATCCCTCGCTGTGCGGACACCTCCTTGAGAGCTTTGGAGAACACCAAGAAGGGAGGGAAGACTGGAGCCAATGGCCAGAATGTTTCTGGATCCCCTACAGAATCACTACCTGAAAAGTAGGTAACTTTTTTTTCATAAAGCTAGGCACAAGATTTTGCTTTTGGACTATTATGGAGTTTGTGGGTGGCAAAAAATAGATACTGAATTCTAGTCCTGGCTTGCAGTCGTTGCTAGTGCTCACTGGCTGCAGAGTTGTGTAAGATCTTGTACTGCAGTACAGATATCGTTATACAAAGTCTGTGGATTCAAGTTGTCAGAGCCAGCATCGGTTGTTTTAGCTGTTGAATGCTCCCATGAATACATACATAAAATGGTAAATCTCTCCCTTTATCTCTTACTCTGTTTTTCTCAACCTGGTATCTTTCTTACCATTGGGTTATTACATAAAAATAAAAAAAACCCAACAACTTGCACTCAAAATTTGATATTTCCTGAAACCAAGAAGGGCGCACGTAGTGGCTAGTCCCTCAATAATCCTTGAAATCCTTTATAGTTTTGTGGTTTTCCCTTAAAAATTTTTGGGTACTTCTCCAGGAAGCACTGAGCCTCTAAACAACTTCTCAAAGCCTTTGTCTTTACCAGAATACACTTACAAGTGTTATGTGAGCTTCTGGATACATACCAAAATGTTTATATCTGCTTTTGAGTTCTCTTTGGAGAAAGTCTGAGATGCAATAATAGTATCAGTTTGGGTTACGAAAAATAAAAATCCCGAGGAAATGACATGGCTCAAATTTCCACGTTACATGGGAGTGTACACAAGAGATGCCTAAGTGAAATAAGTAAAGATCTGCTTAATGATTTCTTGGTAATCCTTTTCAGTAAAATCGGTTCTCCACCCAAGACTCCTGTAAGCCAGGCAGCAGCTACCTCAGCTGGTCCTCCTAATATTGGAACAGAAGTTAATTCTGTGCCTCCAAAATCCAGCCCGTTTGTTCCCAGAGTACCTGTCTACCCCCCACATTCTGATAATGTTCAATATTTCCAAGATCCCAGGACTCAGCTGTCGTATGAAGTTCCACAGTACCCACAGACAGGTGAGTGAGATGAGCACTGAATCAGAAAGAGCTCTGAACTTTTCTCTAGATAAGCCTGAATGCTGAGAAATAACTTTTATCTCAGTTTTGTTGGTTTGTTTTTGTTTTTTTAAAATATCAGCTGAATCTGCAGTTAATGGAATACTAATCTGGTCCCTTGCTGAGTATGGGAAGAACCTGTAGTTTGCTCCCAGTGTTGGTGGTTCTTGTCTTTGTGTGCTGAGTGTTATGCAGCTTGTACCTCAGTATCCAGAAGAACTTGAACCTCAAGGTCTTACATCTACTTTTTCCTTTATTAGCATTTAATTGCATTTATTTAGGCTTGCTCACTTTGTGCCCTATCCGTGAGGGTATCTATAGACAGGATTCAAACCCAGAAGCATAGCATGTTTCTACTGTGAGACCTATACACCTTTGTGCTTGCTCAAATGTTTTTGAAAGGTTTCAGTCTTTTTTTTGTTGTTGTTGTTTTTAGGATGCAGTGCGCATGTTTATGTTCAAGTGAACAATTAGGTGTTATAGTATCAGGTCGTTCACAAGATCTCAAAACAAAAAGTAGAGGTGTTCAGACAATCCTCTCCAGAGAAAAAAGAATAAGCCAAGTGTGAAATGGTTATTTATGGACCTTTGGAATTACTTTTTTTAATCAATATAGCTTTTTATTTTAGAGAGAACTATTTTAACTTCCTATATAAAAAAGTGCTTAAGATGCTGTCTTTTCAGTTACATAGTTATACCATAGTACATAGGAGCAATGGCAGAGAAACTCCATTTTCCAAACGGGGTCAAAGTGGTAAAGGGTCACCACTACATCTGCAAATACGGTTGTCATACGTGAAATTATATTCCGCGGAAATATGATAGGGTCAGTAACAGGTTTGTAAAGTGTGACTTACTTCTCTAAAGGTACTTATCAACACTATTTACAGTTTTAGAAGGTGTAAAATTCTGGGTCATTTGTGGTTACATTAAATCTGCCTTTTTCCAATTTTTAAGGATATTATCCACCACCTCCAACAGTACCAGCTGGTGTGGCTCCCTGTGTTCCTCGCTTTGTGAGGTCCAATAACGTTCCAGAATCCTCCCTCCCACCTGCTTCCGTGCCATATGCCGATCATTACAGTACATTTCCCCCTCGAGATCGACTGAATTCTCCTTACCAACCTCCTCCTCCGCAGCCGTATGGACCAGTTCCTCCTGTCCCTTCTGGAATGTATGCTCCAGTTTATGACAGCAGGCGCATCTGGCGCCCACAGATGTACCCACGAGATGATATTATTAGGAGCAATTCTTTACCTCCCATGGATGTGATGCACTCATCTGTCTATCAGACATCATTACGTGAGAGATACAACTCTTTGGACGGGTATTACTCTGTGGCTTGTCAACCTCCAAACGAACAGAGGACTGTGCCTTTACCAAGGGTGAGTGAGAGCCAAAAAGGGAGGGATGTAGTCTTGATTCTGAAGGTCATTACTGAAAAGTTGGTGAATAATGAGCATAGACCTCTTCTGTTTATTTGGGTTTGTAGTGATCAAGACATGTGACCTGGACAAAGTTCTTGTTTTGTTTTTAACCTTAATAAAATGGGTTTGTAAAATAGACCACTCTAATCTGGATTAGAACCAGAGCCCCTCTGCCTCTTTAATTCCCATGCATGTTGCTTGAATTAATTACGTATTTGAGATTTGAGTTACCATACATAGGCCAGGTTCTCCCCCAAGTGCTTGTGAAATTCTTCTAGGAATATCAGTAGAAGGTTACAGACCCAAGGGAATTTGCGGGTCCAAGTGTGTCCCCTGCCAGTATTTACCTTCTGGTTAGAGTATGGTAGGGTACACAGTCCTATTTTTTTTTTATTGCTAGGAGCCTTGTGGTCATTTGAAGACTGGTTATGATGAGCAATTAAGACGGAAGCCGGAGCAATGGGCACAGTACCACACACAGAAGACTCCTCTGGTATCGTCGACCCTTCCTATGGCAACACCGTCTCCAACACCACCTTCTCCTCTCTTCAACGTAGATTTCAGCACAGAGGTGGGAAGACAAAGAACTTCTTTATTTTCCCTTCCTTTTTCTGTAAGATGCCCTTTAATATTTCTAGCAAAAATTTTCTACCTGCCATCTATTGTTCATAAAATTAATTTAATCTTCTAGGAAAAGGAAAGTAATATCTAATAATGACTGCATTCAGTTTGATATTAAGGTGATGCTAAACATGATTGCTGAAAAAAGGTCAAGAAGTGAAGTGATTCAATTTACCCTCACTAAAGGAAATATAATTTTATTGAATTAGGGAACAACAGTTGTTTTCCGTTAACAAGGACTTTCCCTTTTATACTCTAAATGGCATTATGACATGATGAGTAGACTGAATCAAGCTGCATGTGCTTGTCAAGTCCCAGAGAATATATATCCCTTAAAAGTGGCAAAAGGCATTGGTAGAACATTGTGTACTTACGTGATAAGTTCTGTAAACAAGAATGGGAACTCAACAAATAGAAACAGTGTGCTTTTGAAGAAAAAAGAAATCTTGTGATATTTATTTTCTATATGTGTAAATTAAATGCATCCAAGAAACTAGTTTGAGAACCACTGTGCCAAGCACTCTTTGCTGTGGTTTGACAGTTCCGTTGATGATATTTGGGGTGTTAGACTGTGATTATTCCGAAAAGGTCTTGTAAGGTACTTGAAGTCCCTTATGGGTGCATTCAAGGTAGATTAGGATTGAGTCCTTTTCGTCCAGGTTGGAGGGTTCCAACTCATACTTCTATCTGCCACTGGCTTATACATTAAAGAAAAATGCATGGCTTCCTCTCAGTTTAATTACTGTAGGTATTTGCCTGAAGAAACCTGCCACCACCACAGTGACACTGATTTCAGTCTCTCATCTTGGCAGACCAGGCAGTTATTTGTAGTGGCAAAGCTTGCCCTGCTTTGACAGCTGTCAGCTGTACTGGTTTAAAATTTGACTGAATGGGTTATGTTGTCCCTGAGTCAAGTCTTGAATATGGCTAGAGCGCCTTGATTGACTTTTGAGATAATTTAATTAAATAGCAGTAAATGGCTTTTCTTATTTTAATACTGAATTCCCTGGTTTTATTATTCACTGCTTATTTATTCCCTTTTCCGTAGTTCTCAGAGAGTGTCAGTGATTTGAGTGGAACTAAATTTGAGGAAGACCATCTCTCTCACTATTCACCGTGGTCTTGTGGCACTATTGGCTCTTGTATAAATGCTATCGACTCAGAGCCCAAGGATGTGATTGCCAATTCAAATGCCGTGTTAATGGTAGGGGTTTTCTGCATGTTATCTCATTAGTGTCATGATGCTTACATGCTGAAGTGTCTTCTGTTTGGTTAAACGAGACTTTATTTTAAAGTTGATAGCTTCGGTTCTTAGTATTTTAAAGTAGTTCTGCCCATTTGAAGTTGTTTGGAATATCTTTTCCCGGTTTTGTAAATAAACAACGTATTTACGGAATGTAGTGCCATGAATAAAATTCTCAGGTGTCTGAAACAACTGTTTTAATAACAGATCTCAGTAAATCAAACTTGTAGCCAAACAGATCTCTGTAAATCAAACTTGTAGCCAAAATATTTTGAGTAGATGGTCTGCAAATTGGTAAGAATGCATTCATTTTAAATGTCTTCTCTGATTATTAGAGTGGGATAAAAATTTTTGACTTGTTAATTTTGCTTGTCTGTCTTCAGAGCTCTTTATATAAATGTATATGTGTACACATACGTCCTTACAATTTCTGAGGCATCTAAAATAGTCTCCAGAATACGTTTCAGTGGCAGGCTTGACTGGTTAATACGGGGTTGCTGTGGCCAGTTCAGAGCAGGCGTTTCCATCGCAGAAACACGTTTCTTGTTTGGCTTAAGTGCAATAGTCCATCCTGTATGAATGAATCGCTGGCCTTCTCAGGATTCTAAGATTTGTTACGTTGCCATTGTTTCAGAAAATCTTTACTTTGAAGTTAATCCCAAGAGCAGTATACACTCACAGAGAAAAGCTGAAATACTGTGGACCCAGGATAATCAGCATGAACTTAATCTTGGCTGCTTTGCACCCGCAGAGAATCTGTATGAACTGTTTTCCTAGACTACGCCTCTTACTTGGTTGGAAGGCACATTCTCCTCTAATAAACAGTTTAATGCCAACAAATCTGTGAAAATAAAATACAACTTATTTTTTATCAACCAATTGCCATGAGAGGAAAAAAGCTAACTGAAAGACTTTAAGGAACAAAAAAATATGTAGTATGAATCATGGAATACAGCTTACCTTTGGAGGGATCGGAGCTCATGCGTTTTGGAGACTTTCTGCTACGTAGCGTAGCAGGTTACCTTTGTGTTCTATGAAACAAGTGTAACCAAATCTCATCCCAAGCCTCCTTTGATACTGCCTCCTTCAAGTATAGGGAAGGGTACTGAAGGACCTTAAAGCATCCTGGAACTTTTTCTGCCTGAAACACAAGCTTGGAAAAGCAAAATTAATTCTTCTAGCACTGGCAATAGCTTTCTCGTGGTCACTTTGCCATTAAAGGGCAAGAGTTAACTCATTGAGGCCCATCTTGGCTCTTTAGTTGGACAGATTTTCAGCATTATATTCAGCAGCAATAATCGGAAAGTTATTGGCCAGCTGAAGAATCTGAATAACCTCAAATGAGTCCATATATCTTCTGTCTCCTAAATATGTAGGATTTGGACAGCGGGGATGTTAAAAGGAGAGTGCATTTATTTGAAACTCAGAGAAGGGCAAAGGAAGAAGATCCTATAATCCCATTTAGCGATGGACCGATCATCTCCAAGTGGGGTGCAATCTCCAGGTCATCCCGCACGGGTTATCACACGACAGATCCTATTCAGGCCACTGCTTCCCAAGGAAGTGCTACTAAGCCCATCAGTGTATCAGGTACAAGTACAGGCTTCGTGTGACGGTGTAGCATACATCATGAGCATTTCATCCTGTTCATGCTTACTCCGGCAAAGAGCTAAAATACCTGCATATCCCACTTTAAGAACAGAGAAGGTAATGAATGGTATCTTAATTTGTTACAGATTATGTCCCTTATGTCAATGCTGTTGACTCAAGATGGAGTGCCTATGGCTCAGATTCTGCTTCATCAGTGCGTTATGCGGAACGGTATGGACGTTTTTTTTTCTGTGTTCTCTTCAAAGCCTTTTCTGTAGCTTGCTGTTCTTCAAAATCCTGAATGTGGGGCAAAACAAATCTGGAACTATTAATAGATGTTCTTAATTTTAAAGTAAAAGATTTTTTCCTATCCAGCATAAAGCCTTGGAAAAACTGGGTTAAAACTTGTGTAGTCTTTAATCCTTAATGTGACTAATAATACCCAATTACTAGCAACATACCCCTTGAGAGACCTAATCAAAGAATTGGAGTCAGGTACTACCAAGCTGTAGTGTCAAAATCTGCGATCTTGAGTAGTTTCTCTCAAGTTTTCTTGCCACATCTTACCCATATGTAAAATAAGGATGTTTGCTTCATATAATGCCTTGGGGTATTGTGAGCCCCAGTGAAGAAGACCGCAGTATCTTAGTCACATAGTTTCTGTCCAAAAATCTAGCATTGATAGACTAATGAAGTTTATGGGGCCTTTGATTTAGAGAACTTGTTTTTAATTCCTAATTTTTCCTTCTTTCTCTTAAAGGGACAGGTTCATAGTTACAGATTTGTCTGGTCACAGAAAGCATTCCAGCACTGGAGATCTATTGAGTATTGAATTACAGCAGGTAAGATCAGATATTATACCATGTGGTTTTTAATTAAAAAAACAAGTTATTTAGTAAAGTGATTTTAAGTAACTTTTCTCAGTGTAGCCTACAGAAAATAGTACAATTGACAAAATGATCAATAAAGGTTAATTAGGCTCTAGCACCACAACACTTGGTATGGTGCATAAGGACTGCTAATATGAGCTGTTCCACTGACATCAGTAAAGCCATTTTTGGGAGAAAGTGGTGGGCCTGCTACATGTCAGGAAATGCAGAACAAAATAAATGCTGTGCGTTAAAGGAATACATAGTTAACCATCTAGCAAGAGAACTGTTCCTTTTGTAAGCTGGTTTATTTTGCCATTTGACAATAGGTGGTTTAAGTGTAGTTGTTGGTAACTGATACGTTTCTTTCCGTAGGCCAAAAGTAACTCGTTATTACTTCAGAGAGAGGCGAATGCACTAGCCATGCAACAGAAGTGGAATTCTCTAGATGAAGGCAGTCGTCTTACCTTAAATCTTTTAAGCAAGGAAATTGATTTGAGGAATGGTGAGGTAAAGAAAGGGGTAATTGGGATGAAATCAATCTTTGAGGTTTTTTGTATGTACATAAGTGCATGCATTTTAATTAAGAGTTAAAACCCTTAGTTTTAACATTCCCAAATATTTATAACACATTCTATGCCAGTTAAGTCGCTGTTGTTGTTGCACCCAGTTATTTCCCTGAGATCAAGTAGGTGCACCTGCCTTGCTGCTGCTCCAGTCATCCATTTGCAAAATGGGAAGAATGTGACAATCTGTTTTCATGCAATCATTACTCTTCGTTCTACTTCCGCATGTTGTAAATCTAAACATTCTGCCAATGGACTCTACAGAAGTTTCTACTTCAGTATTCATTTTATATCTTTGTTTCAGTACTTTAATGTGATTAGATTTAGCTTCGTATCCTGTGTTGTCTATGCCCAAAGTTCTATTTGTGTCTAACGAGCTCTTTTGTATTGTAGAAATGTTGCATCCTAGAAATGCATCTTCTGTTTTCACTTTAATACTTGAGTGTTGTGTGAAGCAGGTGAAAAGCCAACTTGATATTTACAGAACGTATTAATTCTTTTTTTTAGACTGATTATACTGAAGACTCTGCAGACACAAAGCCAGATCGAGACATTGAATTGGAGCTGTCAGCCCTTGATACAGATGAACCTGATGGGCAAGGTGAACAAATAGAAGTAAGTACAAAAATCTGTGTGTCTAAAGAGCTCACTGGGTCCTTTCATTAGTTATTAAAAAACTTCTAGAATTTCTTTGTCAATTAGTAGATTGATAGCAAAGCCTTTTGTTTTTAGTCTTTGTAGCGGTATCAAATATTTGCCGTATTTTAACACTAGGGGTCTCATACTTCTCATTCAGATACCTGGCAGTTAATATTACCAAAGCTAAAAACAGCTCACTGTTCTTTGTCATAGCTTTCAGCTTTTTGCTCTTTATCTTTTGATAGCATTAGCAATGATGGGGAGTCTGTTCCTTTCCCCTTCCTCTCCAGTGTTGAAACCATAGTTAAGAAGTTTTACATTGAAGTTTACATTTAAATGTGATCATTTAATTTAGCTTTGTGGTAACCTGATTCTAATAGTAAAGTCATTTAAATGATTGTAATCCAGTGTTCTTTTGTTTTCACTGCTACTTCATTGTTTGTTTGTAATTCTGTGTATCTGCCCCAGTTTCTTCTGTGCTGTTTCCTCCTTTGCCGTGCAGTCATAAAACATTCTGGTGTTCATTCCAGGCATTAGGTTCAATTGTCTCTTTTTTTTTTTTTTAAAAGCATCGTACACTTAAAAGAAATTAAGGTTCTTATCCGGAATATGTTCCGTAATACATTCCAATACTGGCTTACAGTACTGGCTACAGCTTTTGTTTACTCTGCCTGTGGTATCTGATGCACTACTGTAGAGTGAATTGTGAATCGCCATTTCATGAATGGAAGGACCTTTTTGCCTTTCCTCTGCCCCTTATTATTGAAACAGCTCTCGCTGTCTTTATTGCCTCCTTCGTATCTCACCTGATAAACCATTTTTTAGCAACTGATGTTTATACCTCTGTTGTCATTCACTGCTGTCTTTGAATAATTGTTTTTTCCGTTTTCCTATAGTAAAATGTGGTAGACATTCCACTAGTACAAAATAAAAATAAGGAGTCTCATGATGAGACTCCCGTTTCCATCAGCTTTATGTAGCGGAGCATAGCAGGAAAATTTAAAGCTGGTAGTGACAGTATTGATGGACATTTCTCCTTTTCTCCTGTAGGAGATTCTGGATATACAGCTAGGTATTAGTTCTCAAGATGATCAACTGCTCAATGGAACAACTGTAGAGAACGGGCATCCGCTAAAGCAGCACCAGAAAGAATCTATGGAACAGAAGAGACAAAGTTTAGGTGAAGACCTTGTGATTCTGTGAGTGTTAGACAAAACAGCAGTGTCTGCCAGTATTAGACAAACAGCAGCATCAGAATAGTTGAAGCATGATTGTTTAAGGATGAACTACATACCTACTCGGATTAGACATCTGCATTGTGTATACATGGTGAAGTGAGAAGAACCTGTTAAGAAATAGCATTAGGTCACAAATACGAAAGTCACAGGATGATGCCATTGTTCGTATGCATTGTTGTAATCGTATATACCGAAACGTGTCACAGCTGTTAAAAATACCTTTCACATTCAGTAAGCAAAAAATGCAAAAGTATTTTTATAGTTAACAGACATTAAGAAAAACGTCAAACGGTTAAATGTCATACTGTTTGCACAAATCTCCATAGAGAGGTAGTTTTTAAAATACACTATTTTAGGTTTCTATGTTCTGTAGTCTTTAATGTGTAGTGCAGCCTTTGAAGATGAGGCAGGCTGCATTTAACATCTTGAGCGTACCGTTCCATAGCAAGATGTTTAGCCTGTTGCTAAAAATGAGTTTATGTCAGTATTTATTTAATGCACACAATTCAGTTCCAGATTCTTGTGCATGTACTTGTTTAATATTTGTGTAACTTATTTTTCTCCTCAGGGAGGAGCAGAAAACAATCCTGCCCGTAACTTCTTGCTTCAGTCAGCCGATCACAACATCTGTTAGCAATGCAAGCTGCCTGCCCATCAGCACATCAGTCAGTGTTGGCAGCCTCATTTTGAAAACTGCTCACATTATGTCTGAGGATAAAAATGACTTTTTAAAGCCTGTTGCAAATGGCAGGATGGTTAACAGCTGAAAGGCATTCATCTTTCCAGCTTGTGACCACACCATGGAAGCATTTACACTAGCTTTTTATATATATAATATATATTATATAATGTATATTTTTTTTAAAAAAAATAATATTGGGGTCATGCATTTCCTGTGGACTCTTTGATACTTCAAGCCCCTCTCGCATTAGCATTCTGAAGAAAAAAAAAAACTTACTTTACTAGGGTAAGGCGTTCACTTTCCACAAATGAATGGAATTTGGACATTGTTTTACTTAAGCTTAAAGCAGCTTTTTATGAGTTTGTAGCAATCCGGTGCGGTATCTGAGCCATTCTTGTTTAAAATGGCTTCTGTAGAAAACTAACAACTCAGTTATTTAAACTAGCAGGATCCTACAATGATACATCTAGTGAAAGGAAGACTAACTTATTTGTCTCTATTTTGTTTCATGAGAGAAGAACTTGTGTCTTGTTGCAGCTGCTTTTTCTTTAGTTGTGGAACTTTGCATGGAGTATTGTTTCCTGTTTGAAGACTGAGAGGTGGAGATTTGGACTTGAGACTTTTACAGGGTTAACACACCATTAGCTTTGCACTGCTACGTTATTTGCAGGTCTGTGGTGCAGTGCTTTGCTGCAGCTTTTTGTTTCCATTCCCCTTTTTTTTTTTTCCCCCCCCCCCCCCCCCCCCCCCGCCAATTTCTGCTTTAGTACTGTAAATACACGTACATAGGCTACTTGTCCAGGTAAAGTTATCAGAAGTAAACCAAGTGCCTAAGTCCTCCAGCTAATGTACTAGGTATTGATTTCCCCAAGTTATACGTGAAACAATTTTCAACCATTTTGAGAGGTTATGCACTAATGTAACAGCAATTTTGGTTTTTCTTTTTTTCTCTTTTTTTATTAATAGTTCTCAACTTGGAGATTATAGAATCCAGATGACTTGGCAAAAAGTATCAGGTGCTCTTGGCTTTCCTTTGAAAACCCTGTATGTAGTGTTTGCACTGACTAACAAGATGGTATTGCTGTCTTTTGTACTGTTTTGTTTTTAATTTAAACTAAATATTGGGAATTTAAGGCGGTTGTATTACCTTTGTTAAATGTTGTTAATCATAATTTTGTATTCAGGTTTAATTTTTGCTTGTTCAGTGGCAACTTGTTTTCAAAGATCTTGAAAATACAACAATATAGCATTATCTGACCTTCAGAGTACTGAAAAGTGTATGAATTTATGCCCTGTTAAGATGTGACTGAGAATCGTATTAGACGTGTCAACTGAAAATTGGTTTTCATAAATACACACGAACTAGACCCTGGGCGTATTTTTTTTTGAGAAGCTTAAAAGTCCACTTTTTTTGGAAAAGAAAGCAGGACTCGCCCTCCTGATAATTACTATCTTCTTGTTTGTCCTCTTACTTTTCTTTGTGACAAGTTTTACATTTTTTTATGTTTTTATTAACTTCTGTGAAGTTGTTTACTCTGAAAATTGTACTGGAATATTTTAAGCCAAGCTGATCTTTCACCAGGTGTACTGCATGTAAGGGCTTTTCCTGCTAGCAAAATGCTTAAAGAGGATCATGTTACTGGTCGTCTGAGTTGTTATTTTACAAAATCACAGCTATGTGGTCGGGTAAGATTTTGATAACTGTTTTGTGCACGCTTCTGGGGGGTGGGGGTTGGCATTTCCCTGAGGGTTACTGATTAGACTAAGTAACTATTGGTGTTTGATATCTCTCCTAATGAACCTGTCCATGAAATAATTATGTTGTAAATATACCTGAAAATCCAAGGGTTAGTTTTGATATTCTGGTGTCAGTATGGAAGATCTTACGCATCTATTTAATACTCAAATGTAAAGGAATGTATGTAGAAAAACAGTCAAGTAGTCTCTTCTTGGTTTCCTTTGGCTGTTGCTGTACCACCTCGTAGCTAGGATTAGACTGACGCTTTGTTTCACTTGCAACTTGAAGTGAATGGGTACAAGAACCAGACCACCTTTGTCACCTTAACTTATTTCCTATTGATGTTAACTTTAACTTAGAATGTTAGACATAAATATGATTGTTGTATATTTTATACCAAGACCATTCTGTAAATATGAATTTATATTACTTTTGAAATGCTTCTGAGATACTATTATTTGCTGTACAATGTAATTCCAGAACAGATATGCAAACAAGTATGTCTCTTTCACGGATATTTAAACAGTGAGATCTTCCATGTTGAAGGTGATGTAATTTTTTTAAAAGATTTTTAAATTTTAAATTGCTATTTTGTTACAAAAATAGAGAAAATATAAAGGTTTGAGAAGTCCTTATTTGCTCAGGGAAAGCGAGCGCTCTGGGCACCAGAACTCCACAGCAGATCTTGTGCACCAGAACTCAACAGAACATCTTCAGCATGATCTGAGGGTGAATATATACTACATAAATTGATTGTGTATTTACCTTAACTTTTTAATTTTAAAATTGCAATTTTAAAAACTTGGTTGTGCTCTGCTGGAGGGGGATTGGGATAAGCTGCTTACACACATTTGCCTGTTTGTCCAGTGAAATTACGTAAGCCTAACGTATTCCTGCCAACCGTATTGGCGTATTTAAGAACAAACGTATCTATATGCTCTTGTCTGCAGCAGGAGGTCCCATGATAGAGCAGTTCTCTAGGGTGACCACACGCTTCATGTGGAAAGTTGGTTCTTAACTGAGGCTAGGGGTTTTTTTAGTTGAATTTTAAATATATAGAATGACAGGCAAAAGGATTATTTGAGGGTTTTAACAGCATGCCAGCTTTGTCTTACGGTTTTAACACTGACTGTGGTTTTTGCCATGAAACTATGCCCTCCAGTGCCCTGACAAGGAGAAGCCGCGGGCGCGAACCTCGTTCTGCCTTGCTTCTTTGGTGAAGTTTCAGCCCTTGACCCTATACAAACAAGTATGTATTCATTTGTCTAGTTGCAAATCAGGTGCCTTTGGGCTATGGAAGGGCTTGTTTTCTGACGCTGAGATATAGTTGAATAATCTGTGTGTGTTAATAGCAGTGATTCCCATTTGGGTTTTGGCCTAATTTACCTGCGCTGTCAGAAAAAAGGCCCGTAGCAGATTGGGGAAAGAGATTGGCTCTTTTGCTTTGCTTGGACAAGCATTTTGGGTTGTTTTGGTTTGTTGTTGGTTGTTTTTTTTTTTGGTTGTTTTTTTTTTTTTTCCCCCACTAGGGGTACAGCAGGGATTTCACATGCAAGAGATACAGGAATTATTAGTATCTAAGTTAATTGTGTTGCCTCACTACCTGGATTCATTCCTTGATTTGCCTCATTTCCCACATAGGTCTTAACAGAGACTAATGCTTGTGCTGGGAGAATGCTCGTGTGAGAAAGTAATTATCTGTACATTCTTAACATATACTTATAGCAGAGTGATTGCCCTGCTACTGATATTTTGTTCCTGTAAACAGGTGACAAGAAATGAATCTTAGTGTTTATGCAGATTTTGCATTGTAGAATGTATACTAGACCCTTCAAAGGAAAGGTTAGACTCTTTGCAAAGCAAACTGGCGTTGGTTCTTGGTAGTCTAGTACAGGGACACTGAAGTTTGACATTTGATTTAGGGGAAAAAAAAGTTGTACGCAGCTGATTATGTTAAATAAGCTCTTGATTGCTCTTTGTAGAAGTCTAATTTGGAAGGTTTTAGTGCTTTGATAACACAATTGAAATTTTAATTTATCCTGTACTCAAGAGCTGAATGCTGTTCTTGTCTAATAGTGTGCTAGGCTGGATGAGGTACAAAATAATGCACAGTGGTCAGAAACAGCTGAGGAAGGAATGCTTAAAATAACTTGATCTAAACTCAGAATAGTTCCAAACATTGGTTTTGTTTGCTTTTTTTAAAGCACAAGTTGTCCAGTTGTACCTGTTGCTGTACATAAACACTGTATGCCAGCAGCTCCTTGATCATATTTGTGAACAGACTTTTCATTATTATTAGACTGTTATTAAAGGAAGATGTTGAATTTGAGAGTGTAACAAAATGAGAAATGATCGGATTATCTATAGTATGTAAAAGTCCATTCTTTATGTTGTAGTTTAATCCCTTTCTTAGGAAATTCCCTCTCATTGAGGGACCTCTTCTGCAAGCAGAACACAATAAATGTGCTTTTTTAAATGACCCAAATTTCCAGTATAAATGAACAGCTGACTTTGGCAGTAGTCATCGCCGTGTATCTCTTTGCTGGCAAGGGAGCACGACAAGGGAAGAAAAAAAAAAAAAAAAACTGTCAGTGATGAGATGAAACAAATCTGAATAATCAAAACGGCCAATACCTGAACATACTACTACCCCCCGTTACTTAAGAAGGATGCTTGTGGAAGCTTTTAATCACTCAAGATTTTGCTGTAAAAGCTGAAATAAAACAGAGCCTGGCTGCATTTATTACTGCCAAAAGCCAAGGTCATTTGCACATAGCCCATCAATTTATCCAGAGTAGATCTCAGTTAATCCGAGGCATGGAAATGCATGCATTTTCTTAGCTGGGCAAACAAGTACATTATACGGTAGTTGTGATACAACACACGTGGCTTTTATTTGTACTGCACATACCCACTGTACAGCCACTCAGAAGTATTGTGGTTAGCTTGCAGCATCTGCTGTCCGCATTTATACTGTTTACTGCGTATTCTTTTCCCTGGAAGTTTTAAAGAAAAATTTTTTTTTCTTGTTGCATTGATTACATTTTATAAATTTGCTTAGCTGGAAAGTTTGGGAAAAGAGGCCTGTTTGTCAATTGTACAACCGATTGTGAAGCTCTAGTGTGAATATTTTTACGTCTGTATTAGACATTTTCTTTGCAAATCTATTGTTCGATTGAAATGTAAATGAAATAAAAGATGGTGTACACCCATCATGTATAAAGCAGGCACCATCGCTACGATGGATTTAATGCTCATTTTTATGGCGCATTCTCAGCTTCTATTTAAAACTATAATTTAAAAAAAAAAAAATCTGTAAAATGAAATGGGGATATATGGGGGAGTAAATTCTATTCCGTTTATTTCGGTTTTGATTCCCAATGGTAATGTTTCCCTTCGTGTTAGAAGTAGGGGGGCCCGGCGGGGCGGTGCCGTGTGTGTTTGCTGTAGCACTGAAGTGAAGAGGTTTTAGCTTTGGCTGGTCACGGAGTAGAGCATCCTGGTTTTCAGTGTTTGAGAGACTCGATGGAAGAAGTTTGCAGTATTGACATGTATTTGCATGCACGAATAAAAATTATTTGTCCACCTTAATTGTCTCCCTGCCTTCAGCCG